CGAACTGCATTGACTTCTCCCTTCCCCAACTTGGCTTGCATCAAGTAGAGAGTACTCTGCTTCTTTCCTCCTGCAACAACGAGATTTCCTTTGCTGAGTTTCCATTTGCCTCCACCTTGCAAACTATGGTAACCCTCATCGTCAAGTTTTCCTGTAGAAATAAGATTAAGGCGAATATCAGGGACATGTCGAGCATTTTTTAATATCAGCTGGCACCTGGTATCTGTATCCAAATATATGTCTCCCATGCCAACAACTTTGCATGAGACCTCATTTCCCATCCTAACATATCCAAAATCTCCTTCGGTGTAGGTTGAGAAGAAATGCCTGTGAAGAGTAACATGGTAGGATGCACCCGAATCAACTACCCAATCACTGTCATAATGAATAATATTCACCTGACCATCATCACAGAACACAAACATATCATCATGAGCTGCCGCAATTGCTGTAGTCTCTTCATCACTTTTTTCCTTTGCCTTACCCTTTTTCTCAGCTTGTTCCCGTTTTAGGATTCTGCACTCCTTCATATAATGTCCATTCTTTTTACAATAATAGCATGCAACATTTTTTCGCGACTCAGACCTGTCTCTGGATTTGTCATTCCTGTTGTGAGGTTTTCTACTTTTGCTTCTCTATCTTCTTTCTTTCTTTTCTGTCACCAGGGCCTGAGACTCATAGATAATTTCTTGTTCCTTTCTCTTGAACTCTTCATTCATCACGGCCTCTTTTGCAATAGCCATGGTCAACACACCATTCGGAGTTGAATTACTGATGGAGACCACCATGATTTTCCAACTATCCGGTAGTGAACTGAATAGTAATAAAGCCTGCACTTCATCATCCAGATTCAAATTTAATGTAGTTGCCTGGTTTATCAATTCTTGAAAATTACTCAAGTGTTCAGTCATATCTTCTACATCCTTATATCTCATTCGAGTAATCTGCTTTAGACAACTAGCCTTGTTCAAACCTGTTTTTCTTTCATACATACTCTCAAGCTTTTTCCATAATATATCAGCTCTGATGTCATTAGCAAAATGTTGAAAAATATTTTGATCAATCCATTTTCTAATATTACCAACAATTTTCCTGTGCATATTAGCCAATTTTTCATCACTCATATCACTTGGTTTGCCTTTATCCTCTAGAACAGGTTCAAACAAATCTCTACAATACAAGTAGTCTTCCATTCTGGGCTTCCAAATTGAATAATTAGTGGCATTCAATTTTATCATGCAACCACTATCCGAATCATCCATTTTTAACCAGTACAAATGAGCAGCCTAACCTGATTGCTCTGATACCACTTGTTGGGAAAGGGGTACCAGTACAGGCACACAATATCAGAGTTAACTCAGGACAAATTTCTCTTTCTCCAAGTACCAGTTAAAGTAGGAATAAACCAAATCACCAAGTAATAATACCAATAATGATAATAAAATGTAAGAAAAATAAAAGGCACAGGACACCAAGATTTTTACGTGAAAAACCTAATTGGGAAAAACCACGGGACCTAATCCAGTCAAAATCTCCACTATCACAATAATAGGAATACACAGGTCTATCCGAAATATTCAGACGACAATAATAGCACCAATATCAACCAAGCAAATTGCTACAAAATCACTCCCAAAAATTACAACTGTAAAAGAAGTGAATTTGGAAAGGTGTTACCAAACGAAAAGGAAATCAGAAATCTGAATCGGTAGATAAGTAGAGTTTGACGAGAGGATCGCGTGGGTAAAATTTCGCCTCTATCGGGTTTCGAATCGCCCTCCAATCAAGACCTTGAAGTCTCTCTCTCTCTCTAGCCCTTTCTCTCTCTTCGTCTCACTCAAAAGTGGTGGCTGGCCTTTTTTTTCTTTTCTCTCTCGCACGAGGACCGAAGCTTGAAAATTCACTCTTGCGGCTGCTACTGCTTTCTATTTAAACTTGAGAAACCCTCAAGTGTTGTATAAGTGGGTTGGCCCACAAATGGGCTGGCCCACGGCCAACACTTTTTTGCACTAAATATATAGTATATTTATTGAAATACCATTTACGTAGGTGACTAGTTATATATATAATCAGTTTTTAGTTATTTAATGGATATTGAAATTGTTTAAGAATGTCGAGTGCTAGGAAGAAATAATTAGAGATGTTTATAGATATCATAAAATATGAGGGGGGAGGGATGGGTGGGTGGTATGGGGGGAGGGAGTGTAAGCAAGAGGTCTCGGGGTCGAGTCCTTCTGCTTACACTAAAAAAAAAAATCATAAAATATGAATTGTTAGCTACTAGCTAATGGGATTACATGTAATTGTTGAGATAATAGTATTCAAATTCACTATGAGATGACATGGGTGGTGTGGCATGAAATACAAAAAAAATAAAAAATCACTGTGAGATATTTTTTGTTCGTTTTCAACAAGTTGGTATCATTTTACCCTTACAAATATGAGTTGAATAAGAATTCTAAAGGTGACAATATTAAAAAGGTGATGTTATTTATACTCCCACTACTCTATTTTCATTTTGATAAGATCATATTACTTGCCGTAATTCTTCTTCTACCCTAATTAGATGACCAAATCTGGTAAAGTTAGCTCATGGATAAGGAAAAAAAATTAGAACAAGAGTAATATAATCTCATCAAAATCAAAATGAGATAGTGAGAATGCAAATAATATAATAAAAGAATAAATAACATCACCCTACTAAAAATTGGTCTTTATATATTGTATAGTGGTATAGATATTCCATCCTCCTTTATGTGAACAACTATCAATACTAGTCGCACCAACCAACAATAACTGAAACGTAGATGCTTTAATGCCCAATTTGGGAGGTCGGAGACCTCATGAGGAGAGGTGTTTACAAGTCCATTTCGAGTTTCCATAATAATTAACCTGCCCCAGCCCAAGCACAATTTTTCCCCGTACTTATCAAGCCCGTAGTCGTTGGGTTGGCTAGGTTGGTTGTTGGGCCTTCCTATGTGGGTCTGGTTTTGGAGTGATAACTCCTTTTTTTTTTTTTTTGGGTGGGAGTCAAATCTTTTTTCCTTTTATTTTTATTTTTTGGGAGTCATAACTCATTATAGAGAAGAATGTTCCTATGTTTAGTTGATATTCCTGTCTTCTATTATTTTGCTTCGTCTCTTTCTAAGATGCCATAAATGTTTATGGATGTTAGTCATTATATGTATAGCAATTTAAAAACTGGACACCAAAACCAATGAATGTTTCTACTGACTTAGATAGGGATGGCAACGGGTACGGGTGCCCGCGCGGAATCTATTGGGGCGGGGCCGGGGGCGGGGAATTTTTTCCCCCCGTTTAGAAACGGGGCGGGGGGCGGGGATATACTCCCCCGCCCTGCAACCCGTTTGGAAAAAAAAAAGATATGTATATATATGTGTGCATAATTATATATATAATGATATGATCAATTATACTATTAATTATACATGTCTATTAATAAAAATTATTAATTATTTATACTAAATTTATTAATACATTTATATTAAATTCCTAACTACACTTAATACAATAACGCTTTTTTCTAATAATTTAGTGATTGTATTTGTATCAAAAGTAAAAGCTTGATTATTTTAGTTATATTTATTTTATCATATTAGATTGTATTCAAATAACTTTTGTTTAATCATTTTTATGAGTTTCAATTGTGAAGTTACAATGAATAATAATTTGGTGATATGTTGATATTTTAGTACTTGATTATTTGTTCAAATTTAATTATAATGAAATTATATAATAAAATTTTTTTAACCCCACGGGAGCATGGGGCGGGGCAAGCGGGGCGGGGGGAATTAATAGGCAACGGGGCGTTGCCACCCCTAGACTTAGACAAAGAGAAAGTTAATTTTTTTTAAGGGTACAAGAGAGAATTGAATTTGGTTCTGCAAAATCAAAATGCATCGTTCGCTTTGAAGAGAATAAAGATAATAACAAATCCTAATGAACCTAATTCCGAACACTCTCAAAGATTCACAATAAGGATGCTAAAAAGCAGAAGATCTCACTTCCAATATATGTATGTACCGGTGAATTTTTAAAAACTATGTTATGATATAAAAGATTTTTCTCCAATTTTTTCATGAGAACTGTAGACTTGGGAAGAGTTACTATTTTCCGAAAAATTGGATTTTAGAATAACACATCAGTGTATTGGATAGGAGATTATTTGGGATAATATTTTGAAAAAATACTATAGCATTTTTTTATGATGTGATATATATGAGATAAAAAAATAATTTCAAAAACAAAAAGTGATTGAACAATGTGTTTATGATGCAATCAAATAATTATTTACAAATAAAACCATATCCAAACAAATAACTAATTCAAGTTTTAATCTCTACAAGCATCCTTTCCCTGATCCACTCTAAATATGGTTGAAGTACACACAAAAATATCTAATGCTGATTTCGTTGTATGTGATTATAGATTATAGCATTTTTCTAATGAGTGCCCAATATCATTAACACACCTAAAATTCATCTAACCTATATATATATATATATATATATATATATATATATATATATATATATATATATATGTAATGTATTAATAATTATTACCTTCCGTTGCATTAATATATTTTTCCTATTTAATCTTATATACTATCTTTTATATTTATTTACTTTTCCTAATAAATCTTACATTTTTTAAAATATGACACCTGAAAGATATGTTAATGGGTGCCGTTGGGCACCCGTTAGATAGGCCTAGATTATAAACTTAAAATACAAGAAGTTTGATTAGCATATTACATTGTGATCCTAAGTTCAATCGCTTCAGCCATTAACGGCAACACTGGCCACATCTTAGTACATTAATCTTACATATATAAAGCGTCGATAGCCTTTGTGAACAGTGCAGGATGAGCCGGTTATCGCGTGATTCTTGTGGCTTTGAGGGGTGTTTTGGTCCTATTTTTGTGGCTTTGAGGAGCGTTTTGGTCCTTTGTCATTCGGTGGTAGTGGCTGCGCTGGAATTTCCCGTGTGTCTGCGTGGCTCTCATTCCTTTCTTCTCATCCGCGTGGCTCTCATGCTTTTCTTCTCATTCTTGGCCTGTTCTTGGTTTTGGGAGCACCGCTTCAATTCCTCGTTCTTCTTCTTAGCTTTCTCTGGCCAGTGGCGGTCAGCAATTTTCTCTTTTGGTTATACTGAGTTGTGCCCTGTTCTCTCACCATCGAAGTTCACTGATACAATCGCTCTGTTTTCTCCATCTCTCCGTCTCTGCTTCACCCTACACATCGCCGCCCTTTCAATCACCTACTGAGAGATGACGCATTCCAGTTGAACGTTCTCAAGGCGCGCATGAAATAATCAACCGGATAGCTTTGCTTTTTCTTGCTGCTCTCTCTAAGTTGCTCTACACACTTTTCCAAACCCTGTGCCAATCCTTTCTTATGAGAGCTGCTTGAAGGTGGGTAAAAATATTTTTCTGGCACCAGGTGAAGTTAATTTTTGGGGCTTTAGCTTATTTCCTTCCTAGCCTGTTTTTTGCCCTAAAAATTTTGCCAAGTTTGAAACCCAACCATAGCTAAAGTTGATAAGTTGATTAAACTTAATAACCGTCTTATTGTTTAGGGATGAAATTGATTTGTACCGTGACCTTTGTTATGTCTGGATTATTTATGCTATTTCCAGTTTTTTTTTTATTCTTTTCAATATGATTTAATAGAAAGCTTCAGTCATGGGTTTGGCCTAATTTTTTTCAATTTTGATCACTAGAATTACGGTTTACTTAGTTTTAAGGTTCCTAACAAATTTCTTGTATTATCTAAGAATTTAAGTAAAACTCATCTCCAGTATCTTCGATGCTTCCAAGTGTGGTGTTATTCAGCTCAATAGTGGCTTCGCTCAAACTCCTCAGATGAGGTACAAGTTACATTCATAGTATCATCCTTTCTGGAATGCTTTTTTGTCTCTATCTAGCTATTGATATTGGTGGGAAGTCTGTCTATTGAAATATGGGAATGTATCTATAGTGTTGCTGGGAGACCATACGGAACATTTATTATAGGGCATTTTCCTTTGTTCAAATTTTGATAGATAACTAGCTGAACTTCCTAATTACTTCTCTGTTGGTTTCACTTTGTACACTCAGGTCTTCATGGAAAAATCTTTCTCAATACAAAAGGGGATATAGCATATATAGGTATTGCTATTAATCCTGATACCTGAACAAAGTCCGCCGATTCAGGAAGTGATCCAAGCTGGTGTTGTCCCTCGTTTTGTTCATTATCTTATTACGGAGGATTTCCTCAACTTCAGCTTCAAGCTCATTATTCCCCATCCTGCGTACAAAATGAAGATTATATTTGTTTGGTGTTACGTATAAATGTCTTTTTCCATCCTTTGCAAATTTGTAGTTTGAGGCAGCTTGGGCTCTCACAAACATTGCTTCCGGGACATCTATGCACACTAAGGTTGTAATAGACAATGGTGTTGTTCCCATATTCGCACAGCTTCTTAGTTCTCCCAGCAATGATGCCCGTGAACAGGTACATCTTTGATGGATGATAAAGAAATTTCCTCTTCTGGTGTTTGGAATCATGTTCAATGCCTTGCATTGCTTTCTGGATTTTGAATGTTGCATGATATAATTGAATTTTATTGTTATTTATCTCTTATTCCTTAATTTTCTTTTAACTACATTAGGCTGTATGGGCTCCGTGAAACGTGGTTGGTGATTCCCCAAAATGCCGTGATCTTGTTCCTGGTCATGGAGCTCTAGGTCCTTTGTTGGCTTAGCTAAATGAGCATGCAAACTATCATTGTTGCGAAATGCCACGTGGACACTATCTAATTTCTGCAGAGGCAAGTTTCAGCCATATTTTGACAAGGTACTACATTCAGCTTGAATGTCTGTTCATCTCACAGCTCTTTCAATTCTACAGGATTATGTGCATGCTTTGCTCTTTCAAAGCTTTTTTCGTCTGTAGTGGATGCCAAAGTAGTCTACATGTCCCTCATAAGAAATTGCTTTGACACCCCCCCTGTCCATGTTTGCTACATTCTTGTGCTATGAGACATTAAGTAGTTGCTACATTCTTAACTTCCTCCATCTTGTTCTATGGTCAACTGATTGATTCACAGCCAATCTTGTTATAAGATGTTTACTTATGCTTCCTGATAATATTTTTTTTTTGTAAACTGTAACAAAAGATTAGTTGGTCAATGATATTTTATTTTTTGTTTGTGAATACAGAGAGAATGCAAAAGTTCAGTTGGATTACATACTCAACGTCACCAAAGGCTCGTGTAATTACGCTGGATGGATTGAGAAAAATTCTCAGGAGTCATTAGCGTTTATTTTGAACCTAAATGAATTGGTTGGCTATACTATTATAATTGCCGTTTACTTTTGCTTTAGTTTTGTGTACAAGATTAATATAGTATATGCTAGCCCACTATAGCTGTTATGTATATACATATTTTTTCAGAAACGGTAGGAATTGTATTAATGATTTAATGCTTTACATTTGGTGAGCAAAGGCTCCTAAAAGGCTATACAAAAGTGTTAGATCACAAGGATTGTTCCATTCCTCATCACCATATGTGCCTAGAGCATATCTACTTACATTTTTAACCAAGCTATCACTTTTCCTATCAGAGCAGAATGAGCATTTTTTAAACAAAAGCTCACTATAGCTGTTATAAACTGTTCCCATTTTATTGCTATGTGATATTTATGATTTAGTTTTAAACATAAACATGCAAATCTCTCAATCTCCTGGGTTCAATCTCCTGGGCTAAATTTTGGTGTAGAAAGTTTACATTATATCACAGGTTTAAGCAAATTTCGGTGCACATTATATAATATATTTAAATGATATTTTTCTTAATACATTGCACATTATATCCTTGGGTTAGGTAAATTCATATTACCTTCGCACGCATCGTACGCTTGTACCAAGAAGGCAAGAAGTGATAGCTAAAGCCCCCTCCCAAAATATATATATATATATATATATATATATATATACCCAGTCATACTTCACACTGTACAACCAAAGCAATCATCTGTTAACTATGTCAAAAAAAAAAAAAAAAAAACACACATACACACACAACACTAACAAAAAAATATACCACAGCAGCAAAAAAACCAATCCAAGCTATCTGACGCATGGCGTCAGGGCCTGAAAAACTAGTTACTAATAGAAAGCAAGCAAAAGTAAAACGGGGCAGTATAGTCGAGTGCAATCCAGAAGACCACAGAAATCATAAGAAGAGGTTAAAGTTGACCATGCCGTTGCCATTTCCGTAAGTGTGAATTATAATCTAATTATATTGATGCGTTTAAACATATCCACTAATAAATGAATTTAGGTATACAATAAATTTTCAATGAATCTAAATGGATATGCAATTAAATACATCTAATTGATAGGTAGTGGTTGAATCGACTCATCAATTTATACTCATTTAAAAATAATTATATATTTAAACTCAATTTTTTAAATTTTTTTTCGTTTTAACATTTTCAGCCGAGGAGAGGTGAGATTTTATAAGTGAAGAAAGGGAAGGGGTGTTTCTCATGTTGTTTCGAGAAGTTTTTTCCTCATGTCTTTTGTTTGGAGAACGGTTTTTTTCTCATTTCTTTTGGGGAGAAAAGTTAATAAAAAGAAAACATGGGAAAAATACTTACCTCGGTGACCATGGCACAAAACCGCACAATGCATCAACAGATAAAAAGACCTAAGGCTGCAAAAGCTCCTTATCTATATGTGCCTACAGTTATTCCAAGCAGTTGTTTTCTTCTTCTTCTTCTTCTTTATAATTCGAAAAGATTATGAGAAATTTAATTTTATGCTACTAATTATTTCTAAGCTAATTGATGTGATCGATGCAAAATCCATTATAAAGAGTAAATGCTCTTTTTTATTATTATTAAATGACTAACTTTTGTATGCTAAGTTAAAGAAATTATATAGAAAAATTTTTTCGATATCTGTACCAAAATGGTAACCTAGCAATAACACACTATTATCCAATTAAAAGAGTGAAATCTTTTAATCTGTAAATTAAAGGCACGTGATATTGTAATTATCCGATTCTGGTTTCTACATAGACATCTCGAAGACTTGTACTGTCTCTTTTTAGGTACCGTACCAATGAAATGAAATTCACCGTTGAATATACAATAAGAATTATCAAACTTTAGATTATTTTAAAAGTTTAAATCACTAAATGATGTGGCAATCATATATTCAGTTACGATGTTAATTTTAGTATTAATTGAATAATTTCCATTATTTTTATTACTAAGACAGTAGCATTACTTTTGCCGCCTCAAATTGATGGTTTTAGGAAAGTAGAATTCTATTCCCAATCGTATAAGGATTGTTGCTTTTCCAATCGAACCATATACGTGTGTGTGTGTATATATATATATTAATGCTTCATAAATTAACCGTAAAAAAGGCAATTTGCATATACTCATAGCCAGGGAGAGAGAAAGGAGAGAAGAAAAAAAACATGAAGAAGAGAGCCGATAAAGCAACTATTTCCATGGCGGAGAAGGCAGCATTAGCCAAGGCTCCAAAGCGCAAAGCAGAAAAGTGCGAGGATCGCGGAGGGGAGGATCAGCAGTGGCGTGACGAGGAAGGCACCTGGTCCCGAGCCGCCAAAAGGAGGGAGGAGAAGGCCGAGAGGCGAGCCGAGGCATTGGCTCGTAAAGCCTGGGCTCGCCACTTAGCCAAGCAAGAGGAGAAGGATCTTGAGAGGATTCTGCGCCTGAAGACGCAGAAAAAGAAGGAGACGGAAACCGAGCTGCAGCGGCAGAGGGAGGAGGAGCTGGCGGCGATTCAGAAGAAAGTGGAGGAGGAGGAGAGGAGGAAGCAGAGCCGTATCGCGAGTAAGAAGGAGTATGATAAGATGGTTCTTGTGGAGAACAGGAATCGCGCCGTCATTGAGGCCCGGAGTATTGAGGAAGCCCTAGCGGTCTTGACCGGTAAGGAAAAGTTGCCGGTGGTGAAAGTGAAGGCCACCGAAGGAAACAAGGGAGATTGTTTGCTTGTTTACACGCAAGGGGAAGAGAAGCCTCTGTTAGTTGATCTTCGGATCATTGTTTAGGTTTGGTATCAAGATTCATACTACCATTATTGTTAACATAGGATTAAGGTTCTCTTAGTCTTGATTCATTATTGTTTTGTTAAGTTTTTCAATAAATATGATCTTTTTTGAAACTAATTGAAGGGAATAGTAATTAGGGATGGATTGTTAATTAGTGATTAAGAAGCAATTGATTCATGGTCTGCTGTAGTTTTGATCGATCAGCATCAAGCTGCTACTTTATAATTCTTTCTGCAGCAACGAATATTGTTCCAATGTGCAATTATATTTTCTGCAATATGTGTTTCTATATAGTAAAGAAGAAAATATTATTTGAAAGGGTTGTATTCATATGGAATCCTAATCAAATTAGCTACCTTGTGAGGAATATACGTTGAATCTGTAGTCGAAATCTACTAAAAATATATATATATCTGTAGTCGAATTCACATATTATTTTCAACGTGGGAATTTTGAAAAAACAAGTAGGAATTAGCTCTTTTCGAGAATGGACTAGTTCATGGCCAAAAGACTTGAATATGTTTCCTCCTGAGGGTTTTTTCTTCACACTTTTTTTTTGTTTAGCAAAATGAATCTTGTTCAATTGATCAGCACGTACAAAGTAAAATGGAAGTGATCACCTATAAATTAGTATCCTACAAGTATTCTGTCTAAACAAAATCAGATCCCATCAAAACTCTCATTTGGACAATCCCCCCCTCAAAAAATAGCTCTCAATTTAGTATGGTATTGGAGCCCCTTTTCTAGGAAACAACTATATATCTGACATCAGAAACAACAGCACTAAGAATACCAATTGCCAAAGGTTGTGAAAGCCAAACCGTTTTGAACAAAAACTCTATATTATGTGTCCTTCACAGCTGATAAACACTAACAGCGAGAGCTAATCTTTTGAACCTGTCCAAGAAAGTGTTAGATTTCCAGCGTTCACACAAGGCACATATCCTGCACCTTCTGCCAAACTCTAGCTGATAGTCTGATGTCATGCATTGAAAAAAATAGACAACCAACAGTCTCATCTTCGTTTGGAAAAAAAAAAAAAAAAAAAAACAGTCTCATCTTCCCTCCCGCACAAGAGACACTGAGAAGGAATGGACATTTTTTTTTATTCACAGCTAGCTGTTTGGTTTTTTTTTTTCCTTTCTAGTTTGAAAGAAAAGTTGGTTAAAAAATTGGCTCTTATTTTTCATGTCATTATTTATTTCGGATCTAACTGCACTAATTTATGTCAAACCCCTTATAAACAATAATCATTTTTTTAAATTAAAATACTAGCGTATACTTGAGCTTTTATAGGAAAAATTAAGGAAGTAATAAAAAAATGCTTTCAACATCTTTAACTACCAATTCCGTACTATTATCCAACTTAAGTCCTGATAATTTATGCTGAAATTCTCCTTTTCTCTCTTTTAGTTTTAATTTGCTCTCTCAATAAATTAGAGGGATGTGATTATTCAATTACACTATATACGTATACATTTCATTTTTTTTAAAATTGATAATAGAAGCAAATTGTAGGGCTTCAATGTTAATTCAATAACCTACAAGTTACTTTTTTTACCTAAAGTTGAGAAACCAAGATTTAGAAGTCCTAAATTCCAATTCTCCTTCTCCCACCTAACTTCTTAATTCCCATCCTTCCTGTGTTAGAAATAAACTTAAAAAAAAAAAAAAGAAGTTACTTTGTATTTGGGCAGTAGCATTAGTTTAGCCGCCTCAAGAAAAAAGAAGTCACTTCTAGCTATTAAGGGCTGATTTCACTTTGTACCTCTGAACTTGTACCATTTTCTACTTTGCACTTTAAATTTTAATTTTGCATAGTTTGTATTCTAAATTCTCAATTTTGAACACTTTGCACCCTAGACTTTCAAGTTTGTTTTATTTAAATCCAATTAATGACAATGTTAGCCAAATTAACGAGATAAAGGACGATGCAAATTAATGATAATGTACCGTTATATTCTATCTGCGATCTCTTGATTCCTTTTAACCACTTTTAGCACATTGTCATTGACTTGTATGGTCCAATTAATAATATTTTTAGCAAAGTTAACGAAATAAAAGACGGTATAATTTAATGACAATTTATCGTTTTGTTTTAGTTGTGATACCTTGACTCCTTTTGACTACTTTAAGTAAATTATCAATGATTTGTAAGGTTTTCGATGCTGTTAATTTTACTAAATAGGCATTATTTGCATAAAAATTATCACAATCACATTTTTCAATATACCTTTTTTATTTTTTCAATTACCTTTTTATTTCATAGACATTACATCATAAAAAGTGTTACAATAATTATTTCAAATAATATTTCAAATAAACTCCTATCCAAACACTCTAAATTGTCATTAATTAGACTTCAATGCGATCGATTTGAGAGTTTAGAAGGAAAAGTGTCCAAAATTGAAAGTTTTGAGTGCAAAGTATTCAAAATTAAAGTTTTAGGAATAATATAAAAAAGTGATATAAGTTTGAAGGTAAAAAATGGAATTATTCTAACTACTAATTTTTCTAAGTCTATCATTTTGCTATCTCCTTTCTGTCATGTGCTTAGGGAATGTGGTCAAAATAGTGCAATTCCAAAAGTTGAATGATGAATTAACACCAGCAATAGTTTAGTGGTTAATTTGGATATAATGGGTTTAAATTCGTAGCAAAGTTGTGTCCAAGTACTCTTGACGTGAAGTCAAGATGGATAGACGATACAAGTAGTCTTATCGTCTACAGCTGTAGTCTCTTGGATTAGCAATGCTTTCACAAAATCTATAGGTACGAACTAGCATCACAAATTTGGAGTTAAAACTGAAACAACTAAAATTCTTTTGAATTGTAACTAAGCGACCGACTTGATCCCTTCTTCAACAAAGTTGGGGCATTTCATTAAACGTATATCCTTTTCTACAATATTTCTTAACTTCTGGAGTTCTTTAGTTTGTAGGCGCATTTGTTATTGGAGACGGGTATTATGGACAATAGGCAGTCCTAGATGTGTGGGGATGGGGACCCAAAGGTGAAGAGCCTACTGAATACAGCTCTTCTCAAATCTGGATTTCTGGAGGCTATTTTGATTCAGATGATCTCAACTCCATTGTTGTTGGTTGGCACGTACGTTTTTAACTAATGATCTAATATCTGTAGTGATCAGAATATTCTGAAGTATACGGAGAAAATGTTCTGAAATTTTCCTCATTTATTTGTCTCTTAATGGGCAAAAACCGGTCTTGCCACAACTTTCCGGGGATAACAACACAGTAAGTACCTTTTAGCTATTGGACTGTAAGCATCCAATAATTTTTTATTATTTGCTTCTATTCTTTTTGCTATATACACACTGAAGCAATTGTAGTATACTTAATATTTGATGGTTTTCTATTAAGTATTTGAAAATAGTTCCAGGTCGATAATTATAATGCCACGGCAAGTGGCGGAGCTAGAAATGACTGTCAGTGGAGGCAAAAATTTAGTCCTTGACTTTCCTAATTAAAACAGTACGTAACAACAATATTCACATAAAATGTATTACATCTATTTAATGGAAACCCTTGCGTATTCACATGAAACTCTTTCATTGATTTTGAAGCAATTACTAGACTTGCTAAGTAGTTGCTCCGGACAGACATAAAATTTTTCATTTAATGAGTAATATAACACAAAATCATATAGTAAGATAATAATTTTCTTTGAAAAATAAAATAATAAACCTTTTAAAGTAACCAAAAACTCACAGTTTTGTAAGGCACAAGGACATAAAATTTCTTGTTTTTATTAAAAAAGTTGCCACTACATGTTGGAAAAAAAATTATGTTTACTTTATTTTAACTAAGCCAACACAATTACTCTGTATTTTTACTTTAGTTGAAAAAATTCACAAAATTCATTTTACTGATGTAGAATGCCATTATTTTAGATTACGTAACATGTCATTTTCCTTTTACAAAACTTATTATATTTACATTGACTTCTAAACAACATAATGAGGGCACAATCAATAATTTCTCAGAATTACATGAGTCATAACAGGGGCACAACTGAAAATTTCTCAAAATTACTTGGATAATAGTAGACTGCTATAGGGTAGTGGGGGTACGTGCCCCACTGCCCTCATTGCTATAATTTGCTTTGTTCTGCCCTTGTTCAAACTAACAATGAATTAGCTTTGGGAGCAACTACAACCCCTCCCTCCACCTACTTGGGTGCCCAGTTTGTAACTACCATTCTTGTTTGGTATGTGATTTTAACACAAAAGTTAATTACAATTGAGCCTCTTCTTTATTGGGGATTTCCAAACTTATATGATCAGTAAAAAATTTTTAATCAGGATCCAACACAAGATGCTTGGTGGCTAAAATTTGGCAATGACACAATTGGTTAACCAAGCATTTTATCTACGCACCTAGCCACGATTGCTTCAGTGACTGAATGGGGTGGACAAGTATTGAGCTCAAAATCAAATGGGCTACACACTAGTATACAGATGGGCAGTGGCCATTTTCCTGAGGAAGTCTTCTAGTTGTCAATCGTTCCAACTCTTTAGTTCCCCCCTACTAATATCAGTGCCTTTGCTACACATCCTTATAGCTATAATGCCACACTTGGGAGGGCTGATGATTGGGAAGATTACATTTTCTACGGAGGACCAGGGAGAAATCCTGATTGTCCATGACCAAATTCAGAAGGCTCGAGGTCGTTTTATGTATCTCTCGTTTAAGCTTGATTTACAAAGTTTAATTTGAGTCTATTATGAGATTCTCCACATATAGTTGGAGAACAATAAAAGTAAGCGGTAAAGTTTCTTAATTGAAAGAGCCAGAACCTTTTATCTTCTCATATGTGTAAGATTAATCTTTTTTTCTTTATTTTTATCTTGAATCTGATACATTTGTGTTTATTACATCCTACCAAGAAAAAAATGGAAATGATTTTTGATCTGAAAACTCACGTATAATTTCTGATGTCTCAATTTCAAAGGCTGACCTAATAACTTTTGAATTAAAGCCAGAAGCTCATAATAATCAACTCAAATTAATAGTAGCACAATGATCCTAGCTAGACTTTCTTTTCTTTCCATATTTCAGATGTGGGATGTCACATAATTCAACTCCTAAGATTGTGAATGAATCTTTGTCAATTAGGGTGGCAACTCGGCCTAGCTACAGTAGGCCTGTCAACAGTTTGGATCTAGACCCGGAGCCGAACCGGATCCATCAAATAATTCCGAGTATGGGTAGAGGGATAATTCCGTTACCTATACCCGGATCCGGATCCGTTTTGTTAAACAAAAAAAGGGTTGGATATAGAATATGGTATTCCGACCCGTATCAGACCCGAACCCGGACATAAATTGATTAATAATTTTAAAAAATATATTTATTAATATAATACCCCAAATTTACTTCTCTGACTATTATCCAAATAGTCAAACACTCCAAAGACAGGTGTTGTTACAAAAACAGGCTTTTGACGGGCCTTTTTTCGGGTAGGCTCGACTCGGATCCGGGACCCATCCGATCTGATTCCGGGAAAAAGAGTAGAAGACCAGTCGAGTATTCGAGCCGGATTCAAAACTGGTATAGTATGACGAGTCAGGGTCCGGATTTATTAATTCTGACCCGTTGACAGCCCTAAGCTACAGGCTACTTAAAAGAGTATAGTTTCCAACATTGTATTTGTAGTGGTAACTAGATTGTAATTTTGTTTTGCAAATATGTTGTCCTTTCTGATCTTTTGGAAGGTTAAATAGTTAATTAATTACGCCTAGTGACTGTCAAAAAAAAAAATTGACACTCTGGAATCTCAATATTATCAACTTGAACTTGAGCTCATGACCGAAACTCAAGGAACTACAGATGATAGGAAAATTCTTTGGTAATTAATCAGTGTTTAACTATTGTTAAAAGATTAAAATTGATGGTTGAATAGTATCAACAAGCCTATATGTCTTGACATATGTAGGGTTTTCTAGTTAATTTAGACAGTACGTTTACAGAATTGTAGTCATCACTCATGACGATCAGGCCAATTCAAGACGTAAACCATTATTGTACTTCTTATCACAAAAAAAAGCCTTGATTTTAAGACACTTAAAATATCAATAACAAATGGTGTATCAATAATAAAAGGTGAGATCATTTTCGTCTTTTATATATCCTATAAGGTCCTCACTAGCTGTTGCTTATTTTCATCCAATTCCCAGCTTTGCTTGAAGAGGTAAGTATTCACGTAGCTTTCCAATTGCGAAGTTTGCTGACAAAATTATGTTTGACATAGCCATCGACTTAGATAAGGACCCAGCCAAGAAAAGGGCGGTTAGATTGATGCTGGATTTTACAATTATTTATTAGCGACGACCGGCCCATATGAACTAAGGTCGTGCATGACTACCAATACCATGCATACATTATCATCTACATGAAAAAAAAAAAATCATCTATGTTATATACATATGTCATCTATAGTTGTATTAACTGTTTATGTGATTTAGTATTCATAATGAAAGTCGAAGAAGTGTTCATCTAGTGATTAAACTTAAGACTGCAAGAACTAATGGTCGTGGATTCAATATCTAATTTTTTTTTTTTACTTCTTAAATTCCATCATTCTCATGTTTTAAAAATAATATACATAACAGAAGGCAAGTTCTCATTCAATATTTCATCTAATTTTATAGCTTGGTTTTTGAGAATCAATTTTGTTTTGATATTTTTCATATTTGAATCTAGATTTTATGTTTTTAATAGTAAAAAAATAGTTAAAATCTAGTATCTACCAATAGCTTAAGCTCATTCTGATTTTTCTCTATACTCACTTCCCATAGTAAAATTTTTGTGCTTGACAGTTCGGGATGGAAAATCTATGGAGAGGGTGGGAAAGTTAAAATTAAAAAAAAAAATCATAACAAAATTTTTCAAAATCTGTAGCGTACGATAACAAGCCCACAATAATATCGTATTATAAAGCTCTTTTTTGTGTTCTCCAACCCTTAGTATGAATTAAGAATTTATGCACAAAAATCAAAATACAACAATTAGACACGACACTCCAAATCCTAAAGTAACCTTACAAGTCTATGTCACTTCCAAGTCCCTTACTAGTGTAAAATCAATCTCCAATTTTCTATGAAAGAAGCTTCAATTGGCTATGAAATAACCTGAAAATATTAAAGTCACCTAGCTAGGGGCTAGGCTAGGAGTTATAGTCTTGAATTGAGAAGGAAAGAAAAAGCTACAAATATGAAAGTAGAGAATTGCCAACACTTCAGCCATAAGCACATCTTGATCCCTCTGAAACTTGATGAAGGAGAGAAAATCTATTGCAAAGCCTGTGAACTACTCATAATTGAACCATTTCTTGGTTGTCTTTCTTGTACCTATTACCTTCATGATCACTGTCTTAATACTCCTCGGTCTCTACAGCATCCATCTCACCCTGATCACCCCTTGACCCTTCTTCCAATTCCAACCTATCCCACTGGAGCCTTCTCCTGCAATGCCTGTGGATCACACGGAACTGGCTTCAGCTATAGTTGTGCCCACTACGAATTCGACCTTCACATGAACTGCGCACTATTTTTGTCAGCCACAACAAAGATAGTTGAGCATCCTCATGCACTGAAACTAACCTTTAATCATCCTCAGATCTTCCCTTGTAATATATGTGGTGCAGCAATTGACAAACAATTTTGGAGCTATTACTGCAGTGATTGTGACTTTGGAATCCATTTGGGCTGTACCAAACATGGTCAACAGCATTTCTGTGGGGCATCTAGTAGTAGATCAAATAATCAATCTGCCATGACTCAGCCATCGGGTGCAGTCGATGCAGTGGATCGTCACAGGGAAGTCATGAATGAGACGACGGAAAATCAGCTTGCCTTGTTGACTTTACAGAATCAGATACACTTACACTACTCACAAGCAGTAGCGGATCGCGCGAGATGGGAATGTCCTCGTTACTGAAGTAAACTCATGAAACCCTCAAGGTTGGACGGCCCAAGAACATCATATCCTTTTCTTTTCTTTTCTTTTTTTGGTGCAAAATATCATAATTGTTTGTGTACTATTGGCAAATTACTATAACACATAAGCTCTGTATATGTAAAATAGCATACATATGGGAACTAGATTATGCAGTTCTGCTCTGCGCTTTGCAAGCCTTAATCAGGATGATGGTTGATAAATGAAGCAGAGCGTGTTACTATTCTACGAGGTTCTAGCATTGATAGTAGGATGTGAAATGTCTTGTTGATGATGGGCTCATTCCCCTGATTTTTGTGATGGATGCTTAGTCCCAGTATTTAATTCAAAAAATATCCTACACCCCAAAAAAATGAAATAAAAAAAAGAGGTAAATACCAAAATCTGTTGAAAATTGTAATATTTTTGTAGTGGAAAAATAACAATTTGACAAGATATAGAAAATTGATATTAAAGGACACCACCACTTAATGGCAGCATGCTTGACAAAACCAATATTAGCAATGATTAAATTGAACAGTTCCACCAAAAAGAAAAGAAAAGAAAAGAAAAGTACTTCCTTGATTGGAGGAGGTTGAGGAATTGATTTTTTGTCCATATGTTGCTGACCAATTGAATTGAGAAGTTAAAAGGGGTGTTCTGGCCTGCCATCAAAGGACCAGATTTAGCGTCCTGGCATTGTCCCATGAAGACACCTTTGAGCTCAGGCTAATAGTGAATGGAGAAATAATTAAATCATGCGTTACAAATTGATCCAGCTAGCAGTGAAATTAGTTCCCACTCAAATTATGCTTCAGTACCGTAGTTATGGTAATGAAACGATTTTTACCTGATGTAACATGCAATCATACTTTTAGTACCCATTTGAAATTATCCTTAGGATACTAACTTACTCATTAAGATAGATTCATCATTATATAGTTCTAAAATTAATACTCCACAAAGAAAATGCTTTAAATCTCTTCCGCAATTGGAGGGGAATGACAATCGATTGCTTCCACCTTTCATTGCACGACTCAAGCTCAAATGCTCGAACGATCTTGATCATCTAACCTCAAATGCCACAAGTGCACCCATGAGTGGCCCAACTGTAACATTCCAAAGTTAAACCCACTCGTAATTATGAGAGAATAAAAAATTGCGTTTGGAAATCTCAAACCATTACAAAATTCAAAATTTCAACCAAAAGTTGACGATTTAATCTTTTGTCACTACTCACTAGTATTCGAGGGTCATATTGAAGAAAACCCACCAAAAATGGTTTGCCCTGAGAGGAACGTCACCAGAATCCTGGAACAAGGTAAATTCAAGCATATGTTGAGCTCCCTCAACAAGCCACATGGTGCAAAGGTATACAATATTACAATAGCAGAAATCCTTGATAAAGTTGAATAAAACCGTGGAAATTACTCTGAAATTCAGCCAATCTTTCAGATATTTTGAGTCATAGAAAATCACAAACAATTAAACCTCAAACCCCAACAGTTCAAATGGACGTAGATTGAAACATTAATTCACACACTCCAAATGTACACAATAGTAACAACTTGAACAACAATATGCCCAGCAACCCTTTTCCACAGATCCATGACAGAGATAGCATTCGAAATCCTTTAAGTCGGCCTCCTCTGCCACGGCCTTCCCCTTTCCCTCTGCCTTATCTTGCAATCGAAACGAGTAAGACAACATGAAAGGATGCTCGTGATCTTCGCGATACTCGACTTCAGGCAGCGAAGCACAGTCGACATGAAGATCATATTTGCAACTTATACAATGGTAGGTAAAACCATGACCAGGACTTCCACAGGCGTTACAAGTGAACTCTCCATCGCCATAAGGTGGGAAGAAATGAAGAATCAAAGGGTGCTTGGGATGTGAATTGTGCTTCACTTTCCTGGGAAGATCAACGCAGGAATCGTGGAGGATGAAGTCACAGCTTGGCTTGGTGCAATTATAAGCTGAACCCAGAATATGTACCTCACAACCTGAGCATATATTTACTCGATCATCTTCTTCTTCAACTTCCACCAGCTCCAACGGGTGGCGGTGGCTGAAATGGTTGATCAGCTGCAGCTTCATCTCGTCTGTTTCCATTTCTTTTGTCCGTATACCAGTTTGTTTGGGCAATTGAAAATCAAAGTCAAATGACCCTTAATTTTCGCTCATGTGCAGACAAGTTCCGCGAACTTTATAAAGTAATGGACTTTTGTTCATTATTTTTCAATTGCCTAGAATAGAATATTGTTAACAGTTCAGAGTCCATTTTCTGGTTTATCACCATATTGAAGAGGTCATTTGTTAACTCCCCCGGAACAATTCGGTATTTAACTTATTTAATTAGGTCTTGTCAATACAAATTGGCTCAATTGATAAGAATCGGATATTTTTTCACAAAAGGTTGTATGTTAAAATCTTGTTGTAGTTGTAAGAATTGTGTTGATGAACGATCCGTACTAACCTTTATAAGTGGCCTATGGTACTGGAAGGTGATGATAACTAGAATCGAACCCATCCAAAATTTTGTGAACTAAAGAAAAAAAAATTAATTAGGTCCTCGAGTCGTGGAGTATTAAAGACGTTGATGTAAACATTTGTTTGGTGCAACATGGGGTAGACGTAGACCGGAGACTTGGGGATGGCGGAAAGGGAATGCGAAGGTATTAAAAATTTAAAAAAAGACTGAATCATACTTTTCCATTTATATACAGATCTAGGCTTGATCCGTGCTCTGCGGTTGCCGCGTTTTAATGTCCATTTCTTTTTGATTGTCGAAATGCTATTGACTATTACCATGCAATTTTCTAAAATATTTAAGAGATTGAGTAATGAGAAGTTTGTATATATGATACTATCATGACTGTAATAAGCTCACTATTAAGTCATGGTTTTTGTTTACACGTCTGAAACATTTACTACAGATCAGCCATTTCATTTCTGATAATATTTCTTTAACCTCTTGTGTTTTTAGATTTACATTTTTTATGAGAACCGTGCCATTATTGTCTATAAAATTAACCATTTTCATCTCTAGGGGAATTTTTTTTTTCAATTACTTATGCTGCTGAGCTTATGCAACAATTTTCTTGAATCAGCCAACTTTCTTAACTTTACCAGGTATAATGTTTTACACGAACAAATCTTGCACGTGAAAATTAAAATTTTTTTTTTCAAAATTGAGTATGCAGTATATGTGACTCTAGCCCTTTTCTAGTTAGGCTAATATTGATGACACTTTTTTCTCTTAGGGTTAATGATACCTCACTATTTTGATGTGTTTTTTAAAAAGATTTTTATAAAGGACACTGATAAGACAAAAACACCAGTTGATACACCTGAATTATATTTAACTTACCATACTAATGCATATGCTCACTTTTATTACCCCGTTGTATTTAGACACCATAGGGTGTCATCAACAATCATCGATATTTTGAAAAGATTTTTATAAAGAACAATCGACAAGACAAAAATAGTTGTTGATACACCTGAATTATATTTAACTTACCATGCGAATGCATGCGCTCACATTTATTACCCCATTGTATTTAGACACCATAGGGTGTCATTAACAATCATCGGAATACCTTTAATGACCCATTTTTGAGTAAAATGCTTTCACTGTTTCAGTTCATCAAAAGAATTGGTCCTGTAGAAGGGGCAAATGCTAGACAATGAGGAATTGGATTGGACGTAGACGTGGGTCCAACGGTCGGTGTAAAAGGGAGACGTGGGAAGGCACTGACTTGATGTGGATTCTGGCGTCATTGGACCGGAGGACTTTGGAAGATAAGATCTAGAGAAAAACGCGCAGGTAATTCGTCTTAACTTCAGCGAGTCCTGGACGGATTTTGAACGCAAAAAGATAATTGGAGTTGGAGCATGGAAAAGCACGACAGTTTTCTTCATGGATCAGGCAAAAATATAAACTTTTTTTTTTGTGTGTACAAAAAAGATTCTTTAGCTTTTACAATTTTCCAAGCAACATGCAAAGTAAAAAACAAGCAGAAGACTGCAGAAACTTAAGACAGCAGGTCAAGAAATGAAACGGGAATCTACAGCTAGAGAAGCAGAAATTTTTGTAGTTGGCTTGAATTATTCATGCTTAGTTCAGAAATATAAATTATCATGTAAGAACCAGGAAATGCACGGGAAACAAGCTATATACAAATCTCCAAATCTCCAAAGTCCAAAGTCACCAATCAAATTCGGATATGAGTTATGACCCAGTCAACTATATATTCACCAATTAATTAAAGAATCTTATAGGTTGGCATATGTTTAATTTCTCTAGTTGCGGATTTGATTTATAATTTCCAAAAAGGAAAACAAATTCAACGTTGAACATCCAACTTGCCTTGCTATTGCTTGTGCATTGTTGGCCAAATTTGTACTATATACTTGATTCATTCCCATCAAAGACTCACCTTTATTCACATCATCTGAGAGAAAATTCAGGAAAAAAGAAATAGAGAAATGGAGTACAAGCACTTCAGCCATGTTCATGGCCTGGTCTATCAGCAATTGCCACAAGGCACAGAAGTTCATTGCTCCGGCTGCAAATTTCCGGGCTCCGGCTGTCTTTACTCATGTTGGCAGTGCAGTTACTTTCTTCACGAGCAATGTTTTCAGGCAAGCCGTTCTCTCAAACACCCTTCCCATCCCGCTCATCCTTTAACTTTAGTCCCATATCCTACTTATCCCTCCAATTCTTTCTACTGCAACACTTGTAATCTTGTTGGAAATGGTTTTTCTTATTGTTGTTCTGAATGTGATTTTGACCTTCATGTTCATTGTGCCTTCAAGCCTAATGCGACTCCTTTGCAAGAAACTTTGTCCCCTGCTCCTAACTACCACAGTTACCCGAATGTTGGGTATGGAACACAGAATTTTAGTCCTCATCCATCATCTCCAATTGATCAAACTGCCGGCTATTCTTTCCATAATGCCAATTTTCCCTCGAGTTATCCTGCATCATCTGAAACAGGGAGCTATTATGAAAGCATCCAACATAATGCTAGCTCAAATCCTCCCCTGCATAACTCCCCGATGCCTAGTGGCTACCCTGGATCCATCCAACATAATGCCACCCCAAATCCTCCATCCAATACCTCATTGATGCCTAATACCTATCAGGAATCCATCCAACATAATGCTAGCTTTAACGCTCCCCCGCATAACTCACCGATGCCTAATCTTAATGCCTCACCAGCTAGTGTGCCGAGCCATCAGGTTTCAGGGACTGCTCCAGCTGGAAATTCTCCAGTCGTTAATAGCCAAATAAAACCACCAGAGGCAAGTTCTTCACTGCCGCAGCCATCTGAGCCGGTTAGAATCTCACTGCTCAGTAATCCATCAAAAGTACAGGAGGTCAAGCATTTCAGCCATCAACATGCGCTGCAACTAAATGACATCAAAGATACATCTCCAAAAGTGTGTTCAGGCTGTGAGGATAATCTTACAGGCTCAGCTTATAGCTGCGTTGAATCCCAATGCAATTTCCACCTCCACAAGTCCTGTTTCGAGTTGCCACGAGAGATTCGTCATAAATCTCACCTTGATCACCCCCTCACACTACTAGCTAAACCAGCTTCACATTACACAGATGGTCAGTTTGCCTGCAACGCCTGTCTTCAGAGTGGGGCCGCATTTGTGTACAATTGTGAGTCTTGCTCGTTTGATCTCCATGTCGAATGTGTTTCATTGCCCGAAAGCATCATAAGGCCAGACCATAAGCATCCCCTTAAGCTATTCTACTCCAATCCTGTGCCAAAGGAAGAGGGACAGCAGGTAACTTTTGTGTGTGATGTGTGTCAAAAGCCAGTGCACGAAATAGCGTGGATTTACTATTGCCATGAATGTGACTTTGGTACTCATCTGGAATGTGCTGTTTATGAAACTCAACCTGTTCAGAAGACTGAAGAAGAATTGGTTCGTGAAGCTGAACTTAAGCTGGCCATGCTTCAGCTTCTAATGAATGGTGTTCGTGATACTGCAAACGTGGTAAATAGTCCAAATGTTGTCTATCGTGCAACAGACAAAAATTGAAAACTAGCGCTAGCAGCAGGGGCTGGGAAAGTAACCCCCTCTGAATTGTTTTTCCTTTCTTTCTCAGGGACATTGATCAATGGTGTCATAGTTTCTCTTCAATTTAAACTATTTGGTTGTATTTGTCCGTATTTCTCTGAAATCGGGTAGAGGTTCGATCATGAATATTTGATAATGTCCTCCATTAATTGCAATTCTGGTTCAAAGCTAGTACTATATGAGTATCTGTGCCTATTTTCATCTTGATTTAATTAGCTAAACAGTGATCCTGGATCTTAACTAAATGGTCTCTGTCCTTGGGACCCAAGTCCCTTTATCTTTTGTGCCTTTTTTGGTACAAATAACTGAACAAGGACCAATCACCTGACTAAACCTGTCGAGTTTAATAGCATTAATCTCCACATGAATATGTTAGCAGTCTCATATGGGAACAATGTAAAGTATTGATTCTCTACTTAAATTTGGTAACATCATACTAAAATAGTTCATCTAGCATCAATTAATGCCATAAAAATTTGCTATGTCTCAACAAAATTTGCCCAAATATCCTACTATTTGCTTTGTGCTAAATAGCAAATGGCACATGAACAGTTACGCAGTTGCCGATGAGTCCCAACACTATCTTCATCTAAACCCTAAAGTAAAGATGTTTTGGTAGTTGAAAATAGGAGGGTTCCTTTACTCACATTTCCCTGATACAAGCAAATAATAAAAGAGGTTAGTGCAATGATATCCCATAATAATATAAAACAGCTATATTCATGTCACAAAACTCTCAAGTGAGGTATATAACTTACTCTTACACTTGCGGCCCAGAGGTAGTCTAGCGGTGAAGTGGATCCTCGAATTGAATGAAGTTTTGAATTCGAATATTTTTCTAAATTTGAACCTCCCGTCTAATCTGGATGCATTGTGGGGGCCGCAGCGTATCTTTCGATTTGATGTGTCGGCTTGGATTCTAAGTGACTCAAATCGGGGAATATTTTAGGCACCAAAAAAAAATACTCTTACACATGAAATAAGAGAATTTATTATTACATTGGTGGATGGACTACTTATTTGACGGATAACACTACAGAGTAGGAACGGAATCGACGATCCCTTTTGGATCATCTAAGGGTATAATGATTTAAAGTTGACCAAGACTCACCCTCGATGGAGAAGCTATAGGTTGTCAGCTGGTTGTGGAATATCTCCCTTAGTTACAGACCTCCTCTTAATTTTGTTTTTGGGCCTTGGAAAAAGTCAATTTAATATAAGTCAACGTCAAATATATTGCAAGTCTTTATTTTTTATAAATAAATTTACAGAGAAGAATTAGAAAGTCAACTGCCGGGAGTCTCGCATTTATTTGCATTGTCCCTCGACAGAGTGGCAATGACAACCGGAAGGAGAATACAATTACAAAAGTCAACCAAATGCAAAGTCATTTATACATTTCTACTAGATTGGGGGTGGAAGAGATTGATGTCTTATATAAACGGAGTAAAATTTTACCTAAGAAAGGTATATATTTAAATGGTAAAAAGTTTGCAGAGAGGAAGAGATTGATGTCTTATATAGTTAATCAAGTCAATAATATATTGTCCATAATGTATTGTTTAGGCATACATCAAAGTGCTGGACAGCTGCCAAAAACATATATGTTCAGTCAAGTAGATACACGCTCTGTTTGGTAACCCAATTCAGTACCTAAATTTAATATATTCAAATCTTAATATATTCAAACTGTTTGATAACCAAAAATTGAACATCTGAATTAATTAAGTAGCACTGAATTTTCTAGGCAAAACTTGCTCCCAAAATTAAGTGATAAGTTATTCACTTATTATTGAATGTGATATGCACTCAAATGTATTAGATTTAATATTTAACAATTCAATAATTTAATAGATTTAGACTTCAGATTTGAGATTTCAGAATTCAGTTTATAGATTTCAGTTTTATCAAACGCATCAGCATCCATTGCTTTATCATCAAGAGATGTTGAAGCAATGGATGCAAATTTGGTGACAGGATTAGTATTCACAGTGTAAGATACAGAAAAGATGCTAATCAAAGTTCCAGTGCACACATGTATTAGAATGCATTGTTCTATCAAAAGTTGTTGGAGCAATGGATCCTAATACTTGAGTTAGAGCATTGTTTAGTTTAGACTGGAATATAGCATAACAACAAAATATTGCAAAACAAATTGATAGGAGATTAAGCTAAAAGCAATTATATCGAATAATTAAGTTTAGATGTTGGACACAAGTTTATATTATTAAAAATTAGGTAAAGACCACAAGCACCGCCAGAAGAAAGAGCTACCTTATTCGTAAATTCAGCACCTCCTGTGTGCATAGAAACACAATACTAGAGCTTTGATAGACCCCCACAAGGTAATTCATTTGGTTTGTTTCTAATGATGTCACATCGTGGACCTGTTATTTGTTTCTCATAGTAAATTCTTTCCATGATCTTCGAAATAAAGACACAAATATTATATCAGAGACTTCAGATTCATCTGAACACAAGAGGGATATAAATTCGAAAGCATACCTGTTTAAAAATAATAATAAAACTGCAGGTCTGCTTGTTAAAAAATCAAACCCCTAGTTTTAAGTCCAACCATTTAGTCAATTGCAAAGAAAAACAAATCCAATCATCAATCACATAATTCACCCAAGCCATTATATACTGAGAATTCAAATATTCTATAGAAAGAAATTTAGATGAAAAGAAACAATAATAAAGCATTTAATATTACTACTTCTGTCCTGCATGAATAAGAACCTAATCCCCTCGCCGCCTTGCCACAAAACGCTACACAGAATTGATCTTATAAGTCATGTTAATAAAACTAGTCCAACTCTGGCTACTGACTTGGTCTGCAATGAACTTAAATAACAGCATTTCGACATGAAATTATCTCATTTAGGTCAAAAATTGGATCTTTTGTTCTTTTTTGGTTCCTCAAATCAGATTCAAGCTTCCCTTTTGATCAACCTATGCACATTGAACCATCAATAAGCCCACCCAGTAAATAAATTTCATTAAATTGCAACTATCTTACTAAACAAGTTAACAACCACACCCCACCAAAAAGCCTAATCTGAGTCAAGAAACCCCCAATTTTTTGCCAAACCAGGGGTCCGACAATATGTAAGCTAAAACAAGTCTTTAAACATCTTTTTTATGACAGTTATAAACATACCCAGACAATTAAGCACGAATTTCTTCAGTTAGAATGGATGAAGAGAACAAGAAAGTTCCATTACTAACCAGAGGATGATAGCAGTGGTGTACTGTTGCAAGTGTCGAAAAGGTTGTTCAAGTGGGACATTGTCAAAATTGACATTGCAGCTGCCAGCGAAAAGGGTGTCGGTGTAAACAGAAGCCATCACCATTATCATCTTCCCAGCCCTCCAATCGATGGCCCTCACATGCATACTTACATACCCCTCATGACCCGCCATTTTTCTCAGCTATTTCTTTGTTAAAAACGTGGGTTTCGGATCAGATTTAAACAGAGAATTATTAAGTTAACGTAGTCCTTTCCCAAAACATGGGGTAGATCGAAGAAAGAGATCTCGCCTTCAGCCGCTTTTCCCACAGTTGAGAGAGTGAAGAGTAATAATTAGTTCTAGTTCTGTATATTTCCTCGTAACTAATGTAACTTCAAAAAGAATATGTTAAGATTTGTCCCACATCGGCTTTTTGGGATCACAAACCACCCTATTAATAATAAGAGATGAAAAGTCCAGGGCACAACCATACTTGAACAGGATCTGTTCTATAGGTTGTACGTCTGTGTCCTAGACCTCTAAGGAGACAGGAAATCAAATCTGGCGGATGAAATATAGCCAGTAGAGGATCGTTCTTAGCCACCATTGCTTAGCATTGGCTAGGCGGTCTTGTGGCTGTCTGACAGATCTCTAATCTTCATCTTTTTTGTCTTTTGGTACGATTAGTGAATGAAAAATTGTGACTCATCTCTTTTGATTTTGATGTACACCAATGAGCTCAAGTAGTGCCATACTCGACCTCAACTTGAACAGTGTTGACATCCTATTCAATTCGAACTCGAGTTCGAACTCAATCGAGCAGGGAAATGGAGGATTGAACTCGACTCGAAGAAAATGTTAAAAAACTCAAACCCAACTTGATGTGGCTCGAACAATTATGCTGTTACTTTTTTTTCCATTATAAAATTTAATTAAGCATGCAAACCAACTTGTAAATTAACTGAAACATAACCCTTAATGGTAATTTTATAATTAAAAATACATATTATTTAAATTAAAAAATACTCGACGAGTAGCTTGTTGAGTTCGAGTACCATATATTCGGACTCGAAACTCGACTTGCATCCCCACTCGAGCTACTCGAACTCGGTCAAAGCAAGTTCGAGTTGATTGGTTGACAGCTAGCAAGCAGCTCAAATCGCAATCAACCCTAAATGCGATTAGTGAATGAAAAATTGTCTAGCCTAGAGTGGGAGTAGACATTTTGACATATTCAAATCCAACAAGCATTGCAAGCAATGCAATGCAATTGAATGGAAAATAAGGGAAATTCATATTTATACTATCAGTTACGAGAAGAATCAACTCTATTGCACATTATATAACCTATATCTTGCACCTTTCCATTCTAAATCTCCAATATTTTGTGGACGTCATCCACATATATCCTGATCAGTCTCCTGAAACAAAACTGCGAAGCAATCCTTTTGCTTGTGTGTAGCTCCAACCAGATGGCTTCAATCAAATCGTTGAATTCTCCAGTGGTTCGGATATCAACTTCAGACCAAACAACCTCTCGGCATTTGCTTTTGTATCACCGATAAGGGTCTGGCATCTAGTTTCATCATGTTTTGATTCCACAAGTCTATTTGCTACATATTATCCGAACTCTTTTGTCCATGTTAACATTGGAGGCTCCTAGATGTGCACCAAATAACTATCTATTAAAGGAACCAACTTCAAAATGCATGCTTTCTTTTATCATTCTAGATTAGGTTCAAGAGGAAATTCAAACGCATCCAACAAAAGATATTGCTATGCATTCTGTTAATGTTCTAGATTGACCTAACATATCAATAATCCTCCATGTGAAAGATCCAAATTAGGTTAAGGGGAAAATTTGAACTTATCCAATAGAAGATATTGTAAACTTCACTTAATAGGCTGAAGTGGCTAGAAGCCACTACAAGAAAAATTATA